ATGAAAAAAAAATATGGGTATTCTACGTAGCCACGATAGCGTGCAATCACTTTTGATCTTTTGTAATTCTTTTGTAATTAAACAACATTTGTTGTTGTTTTAGCTGAGACTTTGTAATTGTGACTTTATTTTGCTATGCGATTTATGAATAAAGAAAGTTAATGTTAATAATAAAATTGAACTCGCAATAAACGTGAAATATTTACAAGCTTGTATTTAATATTTTCAAAACCTTTTTTATTTTTCTATTTTCAAAACTTTTCTTTTGATGACACAATTTATTACATGATGGTGTAAGGGTTCGTCCATAAAGGACATTAAACAGAATTTAGATAATAATTAGAAGTAGAAGATTGCTGTATTACTTTAATGATCGCCCTTTAATGCCCACCAGTGAAAAAAATATATATTCTCAAAAGAATACTCTTAACATGAAAGCAACAACGATATATTAAGATTAAAAGTAAATCTAATATATTATTCTTAATAATAATTAATAACTGATTATTTTATAATATAAAAAAATATATCATTCTAAATATATTTTTGCAAATGAAAACTTAATTTGCCTTGTCGTTGTGAAACCACCTTTAATTTTGTGTTGATTTCATATTCATCTTCAATAAATGGGTTTAAACTAAATTTAAGTGAGCAAATCCAAGTTTTGCGTTTTTTATAAAATCCTGATCCATATATAAAATAAGTGCTTGAATATCAATTTCGTTTTTAATAGTAATAAGTTATAATAAATTTTGCTATAATATATTAAAAATAACTATTTAATATACTAAACATATAAAATTATTTATCTATCACAAATTATTATAAGAAAATGAGTATAAACAGTTAAAATAAACTTTAATAATTTGGGTATTGACTTTACAAAAAATGCGAAACTTGGATTTGCTCACTGGAAAAAAGTATCGACCCAATAAATGTTACAGACGGTATTTTGTTTTATTTTTGGCATTGTTTAATCAATGTATGCAGGGCTAAAGTGGTAAGAAGAAAGAATATAAGAAAAGAACCCTACACATTCTCGATACATATGTTAATCTCAGGGGAGGGAAGGGGGATGATATATTTGGGTAATTTTTTGACAAGTTCCCTAATTCGTTAAAACGTTGTATCAAATTTATTCCTAGATAACACCCTGAGTGGGGTTGGTTTTGTAGTAGTGACAATAATTTCTGATTTATTGTCACTACTACAAAAGCTTGCTACAATATGAAAAGAAAAAGAAAACTATGAAAATTCAAGCTTCCATCAACATCTTAGGGGGCAACTTTTGTTTAAACTTTTTAAATAACGCTTTTCTACGTAATTTTAATTCACCAATAATTCAAATGGAATATTTCAAATTTTATTTAATTGACTATATCCATATTTGACATTGACCCTATTTCTAATTTCATTTTTAATTTATCACTCACTGTTCTATTGTTTAAGATTGGTGAACTATAATCGTATGTGCTAGATGTCAGGTAAAGAAGCATGTTAAAATTCACACACTTTTTTATGATTACTTTTAAGGGTTATTTTAATGACTATTGTTGTTAAAGAATTGTCATGGAAGTTTTAGTATATATATATATATATATATATATATATATATATATATATATATATATATATATATATATATATATATATATAATGCAACACTCGCAATATTGTGAGTGTTCTAAATGCATATTGCAATATTAATATTAAAATAATTGCATAATTAAAATATGTTTTGATTGTTAATGTTAAAGTTTAACGCATTGTAGAATTGTTTGAATGAAAAGGGGGAGAGGGGGTCAAATATTGGCTAAAAAATGGTGAGGTCCTTTATGGATGGTCCCTTATAGGATTTTGCATTTTCACATTCCTTTTTAGTATACTAATGTAGCTTTAATTCTTTACATGGTGTTTTTCTTTTATGTAGGCAAATAACAGTGGACCCATATAATACAAGCAAAAGTTGCCCCTTTTAAACTAAATACAATAAGACAAATATTTTTCAGGTAGTCATACTACATGATGTAGCTACTTTTCCCACTAATAACGATGCAAAAATCATCTAAGCTGTCAAAATTAGTGACTGAAACGTCTTGTATTGGGCCATGTAGCAAAGTAAAAAGTTGTATATGTGCTGCATCAGGATTTTTAGAGATAAGATCTTTCAGTATAGTATCCTTGATGGGTAACAGACTGCTTTTGCAATCATCGGATATAAATTTTAATGAATTGCGAACTTTACCTTCAAACACTTTGAAAATATTTTAGTAGAATCTTTTCTAGAGCAAGGTCCAAAAATATCCAAAAAAATCTTTTTTTGGATATTTTTACCTTCTTGTATTAACTAATGAATATCAATATTTCTCCGCATAATTAAATGGTTTTGTAGTTTGGCATGATGTTCTTTTGCTTGGCTATTTCGTGTTGGCTTTTGTAAAAATAACGAGGCAAGTAACATGTATAAATTGTTGAATGTACCACTTAGCTTTCTGTTAAATTGATCAAAGGAAGATTAGGAACAATTTCATTATCTTGAACAAATTCAGGAATATAAGAAATAATTTCATTAACTTGAACAACTTCAGAAGGATTAGGAATTGTTGCATTAATGTTATTTGATTTATTAAAGCATGATTCGCTCGTGGTTTGTTCTTGGGCTTTATTAGTATTTTTGTTTTAGTGGATATTGACTTCTGTTTGAGTGATAGGTGGCGCTTTACTCTGTGATGATACATTTGTTGTATTTTTTAAATGTTTCCTTAATGGAAACTTTGATAATTTTTTTGCATTTTTCGGTGTGTCGGTTTATACCGCCTATTATTTTTAAGATATGGCCATAATATTTACATAAATGTTCAGTTACGGCATTCATTTTTTCTTGCAATTATGTTTATATTTGTCGTATTATAAACACAATTGCATAATAGCTTTTGTTTGTATTACAATAAATGAAAGATGAAAAAAAAACTCCTTCATATATTGATACAATTTACTTAATATAAAAATTATTTTATAATTATTGAAGCAACAAGTTAATCGAAGAAATAACGTTAAAGAAATAACAATCAAAGAAATAACAAACAAACAACAGATAAAAAAAAGGTTAGGTACAAACAACTTGAAAAACTTCAGGTACAAACAACTTGAAAACAAAAGAAAAAAAAATCAAACAAAAAAATATATGTAATGCAAAACTTGTCCAAAATATTGAAAATTTATATATAGAATAAAAAATATGTTAAAATTCTCTTACAATAATTAGATTTTATATATAAACAGGCATATATTTATATAGATAAATGAATATTTATTAATAATATAATGTTTAATTACCCTTCCAGTTGATAAAACACAGTAGTATTGAGTAATAAGTAAATGAAAATATAATATTTAGAGGAGGAAAAAAAATATTAAAGAACGAAAAGAGAAGTATTGTAATAGAAATAGTACAAAGAAAGCGTAAGTGAAAAGAAGAAAAAAAAGAAAATGTATATATGTATAAATGCAGAAAACTCTAAAACTTTTGACCATAAAACTAAACGCGTCTTCGATGAGAAATCGATGTAAGTATGAAATGATTAAAATTTACAATTTTAAAAAGTATTTGCTATTTTTTTAAAAAATTTTTTTTGGAACTTTTTGAAATAAATGTTTATACAACAAAAAATATATTTTTTGTTTTCAATAATTTAATTTCACTTTTCAATAATTTAAATAAAATTAGTTCATTTGTTAAACAATCAATAGAAGTAATTTGTAATATTATATATATATATATATATATATATATATATATATATATATATATATATATATATATATATATTTTGTTTTCAATAATTTAATTTCACTTTTCAATAATTTAAATAAAATTAGCTCATTTGTTAAACAATCAATAGAAGTAATTTGTAATATTATATATATATATATATATATATATATATATATATATATATATATATATATATATATATATATATATATATATATATATATATATTTTGTTTTCAATAATTTAATTTCACTTTTCAATAATTTAAATAAAATTAGTTCATTTGTTAAACAATCAATAGAAGTAATTTGTAATATTATATATATATATATATATATATATATATATATATATATATATATATATATATATATATATATATATATATATATATATATATATATATATATATATATATATATATATATATATATATATATATATATATATATATATATTTTGTTTTCAATAATTTAATTTCACTTTTCAATAATTTAAATAAAATTAGTTCATTTGTTAAACAATCAATAGAAGTAATTTGTAATATTATATATATATATATATATATATATATAATATATATATATATATATATATATATATATATATATATATATATATTTTGTTTTCAATAATTTAATTTCACTTTTCAATAATTTAAATAAAATTAGTTCATTTGTTAAACAATCAATAGAAGTAATTTGTAATATTATATATATATATATATATATATATATATATATATATATATATATATATATATATATATATATATATATATATATATATATATATATATATATATATATATATTGTTTTCAATAATTTAATTTCACTTTTCAATAATTTAAATAAAATTAGTTCATTTGTTAAACAATCAATAGAAGTAATTTGTAATATTATATATATATATATATATATATATATATATATATATATATATATATATATATATATCTATATATATATATATATATATATATATATATAAAGAGAGAGAGATTTGAATTAGCCAGTGAAAAGATCTTTAAAAAACATAATCATTATATAACAATATAAAATAAATTGAGATTTAATTCAATTTTAAGGTCCATGCTTTGAGCTTAAAAGGTTGGGGATTGTTGGGAAAAAATTATAAAAGCTGGGAGTCTAAAAATTTGCTTTAAAAAGGTATTTAAAATTGATTAAGTAAACAGATATATTAAATGTTGCTATAGAAACATACATAGTGGAGCATTCTTTCACAATCATTAACAAGAATGGCTGGTATCTAAAATCAAAAAGAAATTCAAACAAATAATTTATTATCATAAAATTTATATTAGTTGATTTTTAATGCAAGTATTTTAATATCAAACCAAAAATACCTACATTAATTTTTTCAAACTATTGTTTTTTTCTTTTATTACTTAAGGGTTATTTTAACATATAAGAGTAGAAACAATTAATTGTCAAAAATTACAGCTAAATAAATTTACACCCTGATATCGGGGAGTAGTGAAAAATCAATGCTTTTCCAGGCACAGGTTTTTTACATTGTTTTTTTTCTTTGCAATAACTACACTTCCCTTATTGCCATTGGTTAAATAAGTTATCTATTGTCACTTAGCTAAAACCATAGCCTTATATACTAAGACATTTCTTATTATTTTTAAAATTGTTTTATTTTATAATAGGGCATTTATTATTATTTTTAAATATTTAATTAAACATTTCTTATTATATCAAGGATTTTATTATTATTTTTCAAGTTATTTTAATTTCACACTATGATTATTAAAAACATAGATCAGTTAATAAGGAAGGAAGAGAGCTTTTAACCTATGCTTCTATCCAGATTATTTGATAAAAAAAGTTAAAATAACAACCTTAATTGTATTTTTTATTTTTTAATAATGTTTTAACATTAACATAATTATATATTCAGTTGATCAGAAGTTTGTACATTTTGAAATTAAAATATTTGAGGAAACTTTAATTTATCTGATTGAGATTTTTGCCTTAAAATCAAAAAATACTTAAAATAATTAAAATAGATTTTTTAATTTTTTTGAACTGAAATTTAAAAAGTTAGAAATTATGTGTCTGAGAAACTGGTAGCAGAGTCAAAGCCATTAATTCTTAAGGAGCCTAATTTATTTATTTTTATATATTTACTTAATAATTAATTATTTGTTAATAACTGAACAATAAAAAATTGTTAATTTTTTCATAACAAAAAAAAAGATCAATTATATTAAATATCAGCAAAACCTTAATTTCATATATTTATAAACAAACTTTTTTAAAGATTTTACTAATACATCATGAAATTTAAAAATATATTACCTAACAATTTTTAAAATATATTACCTAACAACTTTTAAAATATATTACCTAACAACTTTAAAAATATATTACCTAACAATTTTTAAAATATATTACCTAACAATTTTTAAAAAATATTACCTAGCAATTTTAAAAATATATTACCTCACAATTTTTAAAATATATTACCTAACAATTTTTAAAATATATTACCTAACAATTTTTAAAATATATTACCTAACAATTTTTAAAATATATTACCTAACAATTTTTAAAATATATTACCTAACAATTTTTAAAATAATATTATAAGCTTTATTTTTATTAAAGTCAATACTTAATGCAGTTAATGCTTTTAGAAAACTGTGCTTATCCTTTAGCTTATCCTGTTATTTATAAAATTTTGTTGTTATTGTTTTTTCAGTTTGTAGACAAAGAAAATTTTTGTGAAAAATGTATATTTAAAATCAACAAAATTTTTATGACAGAATTTATATGACATATATTTATTTACTCAAAAGAAAATTATTACACTGCTGCTTTTACTTTTTATAACTTATCATAATTTTACAATGAGAAATGTTGCTAAAACATAAAAAAATAAACTAATTTTACCTCAAAATTGATCTTATCGCCTTCCAAAGACAACGAAGCAGCATATAAAGTCTTTCTAATTTGTTCTTGAATTTTTTTTTGCATCTCAAAATGTTTACTTATAGTTTCCCATATATTTTTTACCTAAAATAAAAGAATCAGAAATATCCTGTTGAATAAATTGAAAATAACATTTTTTTTTATTCATTAATCTTCAAATTTTTTATTATTTCCCTAATTCAACACTTCATATAAAAATTTAATAAACAAAATATAAACAAAATATAAGTTTTCTGAAACGATAAAACTGACTTTCTTTAGCTCATCATTTGATATAGATCCAAGTTTACTCTGTTTCAGACAATTAATGAATGAAGTAACTAAAGATACTAATTTTATCAATTAATAGTTTAGGAATTTTGTCATGAACTTTTAAATTGCTAAGAAATATCTATGGAAATGATTCTCAAAATTAAAAAAAAATTTTGTTGTTATTCCATGAAGTTTACAATTACAATGACAATTATCTTAAATTTCTTTCCTTAATAATTTTCCCATAACTTTTTAATAAAGTTACAAACATCAAGTCTTGTAAAAATATTTTTATTAGATATCCCACATAACTTTGTCTGTGATACCTGATTCATTTTTATAAAATCTAAGATTGAAAAAAAGCTGCAATACCCGATTCATGTTTATAAAAAATAAAATTTTAATAAAAGTTAAGATTGCAAAAAAGCAATGGTACCAGATTGTATCTAAATAGACAAATCTTGTATTTAATTAAACAACTCTTGAATTTAATTAAACAACTCCTGTATTTAAATAGGCAACTCTTGTATTTAAATAGACAACTCTTATACTTAAATAGAATACTCTTTGCTTAAACTTTAAAATAAAGCAATAAGGGCTGATAACATATCACAAAAAATCGAGGTGAGACTCCAAAGCCATCAAGAATGCATTTTTTTTAAGGTAAAAGAAATGCTGACATAAAAACTCTAATTTAAAGGTGGAAACAAGCAGGAGGAGTTAAACCTTGGCTGGTAACTTTCATAGAGTTAGTAGGAGTGAGTATTGGCTGGTAACTATCCTAGTTACTACTAGGAAAGTTACCAGCCATTACTCACTAAGAGTGAGTATTGGCTGACAATCTATCTAGTGGTAATAGGTATGAGTATTGGCTGACAACCTATCTAATGGTAGTAGAAGTGAGTATTGGCTGGTAATCTTTGTAGAGGTAGTATTAACTAGTAACCTTTCTAGAGGTAGTAGAAGTGAATACTGGTTGGTAACCTTTCTAGTGGAAGTAATTATTAGTAGTAGAATTGAGTAATTTTATCGCAAAAAAAAGTACTTGTTTTCTTTAACTCAACCATAATTTCATATTTAATAAACGAAATGATATTATTATTCAAAAGTTTACTTAACGTCCATTTAATTATCCTTTTTGACACAAAATACATAAAGTTTATTAAATAAACTTTAGTTATTTTAAGTAGAAATTGTTTTCTGAAGAGGAAAATTATATTAGAGATTCAAAAGATTTGTTGTTAAACATGAGTTATATTTATTTTTGAAAGTACTGCCTAAAAAATCAAAGGGTGAATCATTTCATTGCTTAATCATATTTATTTTTTTAACATAAAAATCCAGCAGCTAATAATGCTTGTTCGGACTCCACACTTTTTGGCCATATAGATAGTATATAATCATGTTTTTTAAAAGTGATCACATCTTGAGGTACCACTTTCAAATTGTTAATCAATGAAACATCTGTTTTAGTTAAAATTATTGGACCCTTTATAACAAAAGTTAGGAAAATTGAAAAAATGTTTAAAAGGTCCCCAAACAAAAATGAATTTATTTACAAAATTACATAAAAATTGAGTTTTAAAAAAGTCATCCATTTAATCATAGATTGCGAAACCTGAAGCAGTTTGTTGCTTATGGTTTTTGCTTATGGCAGTTTGTTGCTTATGGTTTTTGCTTATGGCAGTTTGTTGCTTATGGTAGACCAATATGTGAAGCTAAAATCAAAAAAGTTGTGTTAAAAAGGCACTTATAGATTTAGAATTGGATTCGAAATTCGATGATTCAATTAAGATGAATGATTTAGTAGTACTCTCTGACTCCCATCAAAGCAACTGTGGTAGCACTCAGTCAATGAGACACAACTTTAATTTACTCTGACATTGCATTAGGGTTCATGTTGAAAAAAAAAAAAAAAACAATCTGAAATCAAAAAAAATTGTATGATGCTTTGGTTCACTGAATTAAAGAGAGGAGAACACGGTGAAGGAACTTAGTATATCTTCATGGCCAGGTTACATCATGAAAATCCAAAAAAAATTTGTATCAAATACAAATATCCAGAATAAAAAAATTATGATAAAACCAATAAAGTGTTTAAATTGGCAGCTATAATAACAGCAGCAGAATTTAGTAATTATAGTTGTACTCAATTGAACCAAGTTTTTTCAAACCACAAATGTAATTATAATTACAAAACAATTAATGAACAATTGAATGAAGTTATGGAAAATGGGTCGTCAACAATATGAACACAATCTATAAGGGTAAAAAGTAAAATTTTTTAAATTCAAAACAAAATGATGTTATTTGAAAGTGGTACCTCAAGATGTGATCACTTTTAAAAAACATGATTATATACTATCTATATGGCCAAAAAGTGTGGAGTCCGAACAAGCATTATTAGCTGCTGGATTTTTATGTTAAAAAAATAAATATGATTAAGCAATGAAATGATTCACCCTTTGATTTTTTAGGCAGTACTTTCAAAAATAAATATAACTCATGTATATCCATGTATGGTTATATGATATTTATAAACTTTTATTTTTACTGTGTTATCATTTTAAGGTTTATATTTTAAATAACTTAGTTTCATTAATGAATGAGGTATTTTAGTTATATTATAATTAAATAAATATTTTTTTAATTTTAATTCACCTCCTCAAGGCCAAGAAGGCCACTACAGACGAGGAGGCTACTTATTTGTGGCTATAACCCTCTCTTAACTCTATAACTCCGAAATATGAACCTTGACGAACAAGGCCGCTGCGTAGAGAAACGAGTTAAGCGTGGTCCTACCAAGAACGTGGTGGGGATCGAACTCGGAACCACTCGTTTATGAAACGAGCGCTCCACCACTACCGCATATAAATATATTATAAATATATATATAACTTAGATATACAGTTTATGGTAAAAAATAGCTCTCCAATTATCTCTGGTTTTATACTGACAAAATTTAGGTTAGATTAAAACAAAACACATTAATTTAATTGAGGAAACTAAATAAGATTAAAGAGCCACAAAAATGCAAGTTAAAAGACTTAAATGAAAACATTCTGAATGTTTTTAAACACACTCAGAATGTTTTTAAACACACCTTGAACGTTTTTAAAACATTCTTAATGTTTTTAAACACACTCTGAAAGTTTTTAAACACACTCTGAACGTTTTTAAAACATTCTAAGTGTTTTTAAACACACTCTGAATGTTTTTAAAAACATTCTGAATGTTTTTAAACACACTCTGAACGTTTTTAAAAACATTCTGAATATTTTAAACACTCTGAACGTTTTTAAAAACATTCTGAATGTTTTTAAACACACTCTGGCTACTTGCCATTCAATTAAGTCTAATCTTTTTTCTGTGACTGTTCCTAAGTGCTCCAAAAACTAAAAACTCATCTAGTTTTTTTTCTCGAACATCAGTTCTTTGGAATTCGCTTCCTTTATCCTGCTTTCCTGATTCATATAATTTGCAATCTTTTAAGTTGTCTGTCAATCGTTATCTTACTCTACAATCTTCATCTTTTTTCCTCCAGTAACTTCCAACACTAATTAGTGGTTGCTTGCAGCCTTGTTGAAAAAAAAAAAAAACAGTTTTTAAGAACGTATCAACTTACACCATCTATTCCAATTGACTTGTGAATATTTCAATTTTCTAGTTTCTGTAATATTACAGTTTTACAAAAAAGAAGATCTGGGTTATCATTGACTTGACTTAAGGAACAATTCAAAATCAGGAAGTTCACTATTTATATTATTTGTGAAGATTGATTAAAATGTGTTTGTTAAATATACTAGCTATTTATTGCTATCTATTGTCTTTTTGTTGGTAATTGCAATAATTGTCTTGTAACAAATTGACACTTGAATTTAATTTTTATTTCAATTTAACATTTGAAAAGAAGTTTATAGGCTCATTTTTTATTTTGTTAATTAATGAAAATTCGATTTGCATTTTCTTTATTTCTTATTTTTCTTTTTTTCTTATTTTTCTTTTTTTCTTATTTTTCTTTATTTCTTATTTTTATATCTTTTAAAGAAACAATAACAGTTCAATCTTTTTTAAAATTTTATCAGAAAAATATTCTTACAGAGAAATATTCTTACAGAAAAATATTCTTACAGAAAAATATTCTTACAGAAAAATATTCTTACAGAAAAATATTCTTACAGAAAAATATTCTTACAGAAAAATATTCTTACAGAAAAATATTCTTACAGAAAAATATTCTTACAGAAAAATATTCTTACAGAAAAATATTCTTACAGAAAAATATTTTAACAGAAAAATATTCTTACAGAAAAATATTCTGAGGTTTGCAACTTCCAGTTACAAAAAATACAAAAAAATTTATGCATTTTAAAAATTTTAAATTATTTTACATATACATGAGTTATAATTAGCTCATATAAACAGGAAGTGTGAGCATGAGCAAGAGCTAAAGCTCCCCATGTACCCACCTCTCCCCATGTACCCACCTCTCCCCATGTACCCACCTCCCCCCACTACCAGGCTTGAATAAAACAATAAAAATATATGTAAAATAAGCAAAAAAATTATATTTTATATCAATATTTTGTTTAGATAATAAAAATTCATAAAATTATGCCTGTTCTAAACTTTCATTTCTTGCTGTATCTTTTAATGAAAACGAACTAAAACATTAAATAAGTTCAAAATAAATAGTATCAATTTAGCTTTATTTATATATATATATATATATATATATATATATATATATATATATATATATATATATATATATATATATATATATATATATATATATATATACATATATATATATATACATATATATATATATATATATATATATATATATATATATATATATATATATATATATATTTTATTTAGATGAATAAAAACAACTGATTAGCAGGACTTTCATGCCCGAAGTTTCATGCCCAAAGGCAATCATCAGCCGTTAATACAAACAAAAAACAAAGTGTTTCAAAAACGTAAAAATTACTGTAGAATGTAGTAGCCATAACATAAAGCCAATTATAGAATGGAAAAGTGTCAAATATATTTTATATATCTATATCTATACAGATATTTGCTACATAAAGTTGAGCCCTTTACTTAAGTCTTCTATGCAATGGATAAAATAAACTTTGATTATTCAATAAAAAACATTTCAATACTATCAGAAAGAGACTTTAAAACTAATAAAAAAAACAGAATTACTCTTAAATAAAATGAGATGTAAAGCGCTCTTTTTTTATTAATAACAATCCAAGAAATAAAGACAATATCAATTATACAAACTACGAATATAAATCTCCTGTATGTCCATGCCAATAAAGAAAATTTCTTTGAAAAAGAATCTTATTAAATTAATACAAACAAAATACTTTTCAAAATGGTATGAAAAATACTAAAACTATAAGTATATCTCATAAAACCCTTACACAAGCTGACAAAACATCAAATATGACATAAATATAACTGTCCAAGGAAGATTACCATAATATGTTAACGAATGCTATTACTACTACCTACAAAAAAGCAAATCTAAAATTAAAAGACCATATATACAAAGAAGGAAAACAAATTTTAACCAACCATGAGGTATATAAAAAAATTAAAATAAAAAGATCATCTAACTGTTTTTTCACTTTGAAAGACCACAAGGAAATTTTGTTAACAACCCATCTGTGTACATTTTGAAGACGAATCACTAGAGTAATTTTAACAAAAATTAATTGCGAACATAAAAATAAACTTTTTTTGAAACAATGGCAAAGTATGCAAAATGTTGTAGACTGGTTTAAAAAAATCACCAATAAGCACTTATACAAATTCCTTATTTTTGATGTTAATGACTTTTACTCTTCTATAAATAAAAACACTTTCAACAATCCTATGAATTTTGCTTCAACAACGACAAGGCATGGATCAAGAAAAAAGGTGGATTTGTTAATGTAACAATAGGGGCATTTGATGGTGCTAAAGTTTGCGAATTAATAGTTATTTTCATACTGTATCAAATTTTACAACATTATAAAAAAGAAGATTTCAGCCTATATAATAAAATACAAAATATATTTAAAAATTTATTATAATTTTTAAATGTAATTTTTTATACAAAAAAATTATATCTAAAAATTGCTAAACAATTTTTAAATGTTTTTGTAAAAGTTTTTTTATTAGGGTTCATAAAGTATGTCATGCTAAATTTAACTATTAAAGCATGATCATTTGGTCTTTCCCATGGAGATTTTTATTCAACATAATGTTTTAATTAAAATTACTTTAAAATCTCTTTGTGGAAGCCAATAATATTTTAAAAGGTTGTTAAAGCAAAAGTTTAAATGGGATATTTTCTTCATTCTTTTTTTTTAACAAAACTGCTTGGTTTTTATCTTTGTTTTTAAAAATGTTGCACTACATTAACTTATAAATAATTTAAGTTATCATTTTATCAACAATTTTATATTTATAATTTTTATTACTTTAAGTATATTAAAGTATATATAAAATTTGTTTTTGTTAAATTTTTTTTCTAATAGTAAATCAATTCTAATAGAAATCACTAACTTTTTTGCTTCTAATGTTTTTCGCTCTAACAACCCTGAACCTTTAAAAGTTACATTTACTTGATTTACTGAATGGATAAAGTACATCACAGTAAATTTACTTATAAACTAAATCAAAACAACCAGTGAAGATACTACAGTAACATACAGTTATTTAAACATTAACTTATCAAAGATATTAATTTACTTAATATAATCAAAGACTCGCAAAAGTTATCCATACAAATGTTTCTATTTATATATTGTATGTTGTTAACACATAATATATGCTTTTAACTAATAATTATTTTAAAAGGAAATGTCGAATAGAATATGAAAAATGGGATACCATTTTTTTATATTTAAACTTTATTTAAAGCGATATTAAGATTAAACATTTTCTATAAATATGCAAGTTGTTTTTAGTTGTTTTTAATTTTTTTAAAAAGAAACCAATTTTAACAAAAGAATTTAAGTCTTTTAAAATTCTCTCATTCAAATATATTTGCAAATAAAATTTAAAATTAAAAAAAAAAAAAAAAAAAATTTAATTATAACGTTTAATAATTAAAGAATAAGTTTACAAAAATGGATGTCAATGAAAAAAAATGGATGGCAAAAAATCCTGGGCAGCTTAAGAAAAGGATGGAGTATTGTTTTATGAAATTTGACCCAAGCTTTGTACAGCGTCTTCCTGAATCAATAAAACTTAGACTAGATTCTATAAGAAGAAATAACTTAATTGAAACACAATGAATACTTTTTTTTATCATGTCTTTAATGATCTTTTTTAAAACATTTTGTATTTGAAAAAAATAAATATAATTAATGGTGTTATGATCATTTAAAATTATTCCAGATTTCAAGTGAGCTTAGTAAAAATTAGTATGTCTGTAATAATTTAGACTACTTCAGCATACTTCAATAGACAATAGGCAATTACTGAGTTACATTTATCTATTTATAAAATAGTTTTTGTTTATTTATAAAATAAACATTGGAATTTGATTATTCAAGTTATTTAAAGTATTGAAGTTTGTTAAAATCAATATATTTTGAATAAAATCGTGTTTTTAATATCTTTACATCATTATTACAATTAATAATATTTTTAACAGTTAATATTCTTTATTTACTTAAATTACAGGATAATAATTCTTGAATAATTCTTTCATTACAAAAAAATAATAATTTAAATTAATGATTCTTGTCGCACTTAATAACAATTTAACAATGAATTTTGCTCTCATTGTTAAATTGTTATTAAGTGCGACAAGAATCATTAATTTAAATTATTATTTTTTTGTAATGAAAGAATTATTCAAGTATTATTATCCTGTAATTTAAGTAAATAAAGAATATTAACTGTTAAAAATGTTATTAATTGTAATAATGAAGTAAAGTTATTAAAAACACGACTTTATTTAAGATATATAGATTTCAAATAACTTCAATACTTTAAATAATTGGGACAACTGAAATCACTAATAAATAGTTGTCAATAAATTATAGCATTTTTAAAAATTTCTAAAAACAATGTCTAAAAACAGAATGTCTAAAAATAGAATGTTTTTAGACATACATAAATTCTATATTTATTATAACAGAATTAAGCATAAAGTACATAAATGTATAAAAGCGATAAAAACTGTATAGACAGTATAAAAAACAATAAATAATCTTATTTAATGACACAGTCTAAAATATTTATTGCTTTAACTTTGTTTCAACAAAAAAATAACAAAATTTAAAATAAAACTGCCATTAATCCTTCCCTAGTAAACTAAATTTATCCCGCCTGAAATTTTATCCAGAGTTTGGTGTGGTGAGTTTGTGTTAACCAATTTTAATCAAATTATATAGAGTGATTTTCATTCTATATGTATTTTTATTGGCCTACTCTGAAGTAAATTTAATTCAATATGAACATTCAAATTAATTTTTTTTTCTGCTGAAAAAATCAAAAAATTCAAAACTTGCATCACAGCAGATTTGTTATGAGATTATGTGGCGTAACGGAAAAATGTAACAATTAAATGTAATTTTACTCAATATTCATAGGCAATTCCACAGAAGAAAGTGAAAAAGTAGTAAATTTTCATTCTTTTTTTTGTCAACTTTTAGCAAATGAATATTTGTGTAGACACATGGAAGTTTATTTAAAATATACCTTTAGTACTAAAATTAATTAAGCCATTTTATGCTTCTAAAAGTTAGGGCTTTTCACTTGTTGCAAGATAAAAAATGTATCATTGTAAAATGTTATTTTAACCATCAATTTATTTGCATAATCCAAATTAATTTAGTATGAAAATGGAGCTAACATGTCCGATTTGTTGTTGGTCAGATTTTATACTTTATAAAATATATATATTTTAAAAAAATAACAAAAGAACTTTTGCCGTTTCTATGTAAAGTTAGTCAACAAAAACATGATAAAATTTTGTTTTTTTTTTAAATTTAGTTAAAAATCTTTTTAATAATTTATACGAAAGAATACTAAAATCTAAAATTTTAAATGTTACATTTTTACTTTTAACATTTTAAATAATGATGCTTAGTTAAAGCATATTTTTATTTTAAATTTATGTGACATAAGTTAAAACTACATGCATTTACTAAAGCTTTAGGGCTTTTTTGTTGAATTTTTGTTGCTTACCAAAAAATAAACACTTACATAATTCTTATTTGGGTAATTTTTTTGTTTTAGTAAAACATATCATTTGTAAATGCAATTGAAATCACCATAAAGTAAATCACCCTATATTTATCATTATTTAACCCCTTTCTTCCTGTCACTAACAATCACATATACCTGAACTCTCTCTCCCTCCTAAACTGTGATAGCAGTTTTTAGGTTAAAAATATTTTAAAAAAGATTTAAATGTAAATACTTTGCAGAATTTTAAAAATTCAACCTAATGAAAATAAGACAATATGCATAAACATAAGAAGTGCAAGTAAAATTTTAAACTAAAGATTTTTTTATTTAAATAAATTAATAAAGTTGTCATACTAAAGTAATTGTATTAAATTTCGTTAATAATTTTTTTTGAAAATACTGTTATAAAATAAGTTATCAATAAAATTTAAATATGTTGTATGAAAAAAAAAAGAATTTCCTTTTTTTTAAAAATTTATACATATTTAAACTTATATTATTTATTTTTATAAACATTTATAAGACACCATTATTGCCTTATGTTTGCTTTCTCACAATTTAGTTGTTTGTTTTTTTAAATGAAGGGGCAATTGTTTGAGAGTCAATTTCTTAATGGTCAAAAAAAATAAAAACCATCAATTTTTTTTTTAACATTTTGGCTGTAACAAAATTTTTGTCTAAAAACTCAATGATAATGAAAAAACCTTTGTCAAAAAGCAATTTCAAAACTAAAAAAATCATGTTTTCATAAACTTGTTACATAAAGTTTACTAAAAAAAATTCTTTTAATTATTTTTGGCTACAGGCTTGACTATGGTTTATCTTTTTTACAGGCTTGACTATGGTTTATCTGGAAGCTTTTAAAATGCTTTTAAATTGCTTTTAAAATGCATTTATATAAAGTTATTAGCATTTATAACTGTAAATAAATGTTATTATACTTAAATACATTAGTACTTTTGTCACACAAAAAAATTTATTTATTTAAAAATGTAAATAATAAGTAATAATAAATAAATTAATAAAAAATTAATTAATTATCAAAAAAATAAAACTATAAATAAACAAAGTAGCTGGATGTAAAACGAATATAAAAAAGTAAATAATTTTTTTAAAAATGCTTAGAAATTTTAAAAGTTTAAAAAATTTGTAAAACAGGGCGTTTTGAATTTTTAAAATTTAAATTAAATTTAATAAAATAAATTTAAACTAAATTTAATAAAATAAATTTAAACTAAATTTAATAAAATAAATTTAAACTAAATTTAATAAAATAAATTTAAACTAAATTTAATAAAATAAAATTTTAAGTGCAATTTGCAGTTCTTTACATTTTTTTGATAACAAGTTATGTGTAAATTATTTTAAAATATTTTTAATAAAAATTTAATGAAAGAACTATTACTTTGAAAACTACTAATATAAGCATCATTAAAAATCATAAAAAATACTTAAACTTTTATTTTGTTTGCTCAAACATATGAAGATTGGATAACAACCACTTTTTCTGATGAAAATTTATTTTTGATGGCCGATTTTGTTTTTAAAAATGATAATGATAGTAAAAAAACTATTCAGAAACTAAATGATCATTACTAAGTAAACAACAGAATACTTAAAAGATTTAAAAAAAAAAATTGCTGAAACATTTTAGTCCTTGTAATATAAAATATCTAATAATAATAAAAAAAGTTCACATTCTATGTTAATTTACAGGTATTAAAGGTGGCAGCCCTCTTAGCAAGATATTAACTTCAGGATGGACTTTTACAAAAAAAATTGGCCAGGAAAATTATAGGAATCTGAGCATTACATGTTTGGTGTGAGAAGTCATTGTTATTGGTCTATTCTCTTGGGTTTTCAGAAGCAGAAAAAAAAATTAAAACAAAAGGAAGATTTTCTTAATAATAATAATACTAGCATCATGCATCAAAATAATACTTGCAGTGCTGACGGTGGTGTTCTCTGTGGTTTTTATTTGCAAAAAAAGGACATTGATGCAAAAGAGAACATGGCTGCTTTATTTGCAAAAATTACAAAGAAAAATAATCACAAAAAAATAGAATTGTAGTTAATGATTGTGGTCTTACTGAATCTGGATTTTTTAATTTGGATATGATGACAATTATAAAGTTTTAATTGTCCTTGTTTTGCGATGATGTAGAAGTATATGAAGAAATTGTCTCTTTTTACTACTTTTTTCATCTCTAGAAGGATCAACACAATCAATCTAATGCTGTGCCCTTATGTTCCCCTCCCCATCCTTGTTTTAATCTAATGGGATGATTTCCAACAAGATGGCAAACAGTCTACTCAGATTTTTTTAGATACTATTAAGCCAAAGATACTATTTAGGTACTATTCCAAACATCAGACTTCCAAGACAAGAATTCAGCATAAATTTATGTATCACTCATGAACAATTTGAACAAATCTGTTTTTGGTTCTGAAAAAACCTGTTCTAAAAAAGTTCTGATGAAACCAGTTAACCAATGTTAAACAAAAATTAACTTTGTTTTACTGGTTTCTTCAGTTATATCATGTCTAAACATTTGTAAAAAACAGCACAAAGAATGCTTTGAATAAATTATAAATAAAATTTAATTTCTAAAACGGCAAAAGAACGAATTTGTTAAATTCAAGATAAAATAATTGAAATGAAAACAGCAAAAAAATAAAAATATTAAACAAAATAAAATGAAAACATCAAAACAAACGTTTTATTTAAGTTTTCAACTAAATTAGTTAAAATAAAAATAACAAAAAAAAAACAATTTATTTAGATTATGAATAGTTAATTTTTTTGCTCTTTTCACCTGAGGGCACCAAAAGCATCATAAAAGTGCTAAACAGAGAAGACTGAGAAGAATTTTTTACATGTATAGTATGTGTGGGTTAAAAAATCAAAAGACTTTACAATGAAGAGTTGACAGTATTTACAATGGTTACAATTGGAAGTTTTGATAGAGCTGAGTTATGCAAGCTGGTAGGCTTTTTGCCCTGTATACCATTACCAAAGAATAGGGATTAAATATTATTGGTTATTATGGAGATGATGGTTTATGCTGTTTTAATAGTATTAGCAAAACAAGTAAATAGAAAGAAGGATTGAAATTATGGAAAAACATTTAAAGATTATATACATATTACATTATAAAAATTCTTTTATTTATGAAAGTAAAGCTAATTCTGTTAAACTTTCTGAACTATTAATTTTTTAAACAAGCAAATTAAACTAGCATTTAAATACCATCACAAAAATAAATAAAAATTACTTGAGTTAATCTTATCTACAATACAATTAAAATTTTATATATAAATGCTTAAGATGGTTTTGTATAAAATCAAAAACAAACTAATTTTAACAACTAAAACATATAATTCAAAAAATTGTTAAACATCAAACCAAATATATTTTAAATACCTTGTTTTAAATAACTCAACCATTTTAGACTTTACAACTTTCATGCTTTCTTCGCACTCTCCTATTTCTTTAAGAAGTTTGTTGTGTTCTTTATTTAAATCTCTATTTAAATATTTTAAAGTCAAATTATTTATAAACAACTAAAATTAGTTTAAGAAAATGTAAGGAAAAAATATTACAGCTAATAATTAAAAAAAGAGTATAAATTATAAGGACAATGAGTTTGAAAAATATGAAAGAAAATTAAATACAATTAAATAAAAAATGTTTTTCTCTATTTCAATACAATTCTGCTTAAAAACTGTGCTGAAGCTTTTGCTGTTCTAAAAATAATTTTTAGCTTCAACTAATATAATCAGCTTTTAACTTAATTCAAATCAGTGAACACATGAACACATCATCACAACATCATTGTTCAAAAAAAGACTCCTTCAAGCAACTATTTGATTCTACTTGCCATTATCCAGAGGTGGAAATTAACGAATTACATTTACTCACCCTACTGTAATTGAGTAGTTATTTTGAGAATTTCTACTTTTTAAGTTTTTTTTTAAATGTGTACTTTTACTTTAAGTAAAGTATTTTTTTTTAAAGCATTGTGCTTTGCTACATTTAAAACCATATGTGTTACTGAGTAGAATAATTTATTATGTATTGTTTAATTTCACTAATACTATGATTTAATTTTTTTGTTTTTTTGAGTTTTTCTCACTTTAATAAAAATAACACTTTTAAATTGTTTAGAAAAAAATGTTGAGTGCACACATAACGACTTTTAATTGCTTAGCTATTGAAAAAGTTTTGTACTGAAGAAGTAACGAAATATTTTTTACTCATTTTTTAATAAGCTACATTTTACTTTTACTTGAGTTAACTTTTCGACTGTAACTTTTACTTGTACTTGAGTAAAACTTCACTTAAGTAACAGTACTTTTACTTAAGAACAATTTTTTTCTACTTTTTCCACCTCTGCCATTATCTCACTCCTGATTCCATTCTTAACCTCTAAAATCTTTAATTTGTCCCTATATGGAATACTGTTTTCATATTTGGCTAGTTCTTCTAATGATGCTCTTTCTCTTCTAGGTAAAGTCCAAAAACATATTTTTAATGTAGTTGAACCTGTTTTATCTGCCAAGCCTGAGCCTCTCTCCCATCGTTGTATGGTTGCATCTCTATCTCTTTTCTACAATACTATCATGGTCACTGCTCAAAATAGCTATCATTTCTAGTTCTATCAACCTAAACCCTCTCTCTCTCAATTCCTGATAATACAATCTTTACCAATTACACCATTTACTACTAATTCTTACCTAGCATATTCCATCCAAATATTTTTTGCAGAGAAAGTTTCCATTACATAATTAATCAACCTATAAAAAAATATAAAAAAGAAAACCTGAAAAAGATAAACAGCATGTAATTTTTGTTTTAAGTTAGATGAGAATTTGCAACAAAGATATAAAATAAACTAAGATTAAAAAAAAATTAAAAAAGAAGTATTAAGAATGGTATATATTACATGTATAAGATACATGTCTTATTCATGTAACTGAAATATAAAGGATATTGTCATGGAATATTTATAAGGGATGTAGGCATATATATATCAGCAATGAAAGTAACGGTTGGATAATGCTCGTCTACTTTTTGCAAGAATTGCAAGGCAAACTTTATAATATAAATATGTAATACTTTAAAAACAGAAAGCTCAAATTAAGTTAGCAAATATTTTTATTGGAATACAAATAGTTTTGAGATCATAGCAGTCTTTAGTTTACAGTATAAAAAAAAATCAAAAAAATATTATTAAATAAGCAAAAATACAGAATAATAAAAAATACTGAATATTTTTATTGGCAGAACAAACATAGCTTGTGATCATAATTTATTTTTTGACTTAGGGATCATCCATAAATTATGTAACTAAAACTTTCACAATAAACAAAACAAAAAAGATCAACAGTTTTCCCTCACAGAGCCTAAAATATTAAAGTAGCGCATTAAGTTTAATGAAAATTGCCATGTAAAAGACCCTAACATCTCCTAGTTCTGTTTTTTAAATATATTTTGCAATGCATAATTTATGGACAATCCCTTACAAGTAAGAAAAAAAAAATTTATTAGTTAATGAAATGGTTATTAATTTTTCATGAATGAATTGAATTTTTTTGGATAAAATAAAGTTAAATAAATAACTAGAAATGTCAACATTTATTTTCCAAACAAAAGTCCAAATAATAAATATAGCGATAAGAATTTAAACAAAATAGTTATTTACTTTTGCTTAAATTTACTATAAACTCAAAAGTTTGAGTTCATTAAACGCCAAAACGATGTAATAGTTTTTGTTGCAAATATTGAAATTCATTAAATAGAAATTTTAAAGAAAATTATAATCATAAAATAGAGGCAGACTATATACAACAGACGATTTCATTTAATTTTTTCATTTATTTTATTTAATAAGAATTTATTATCACAACCACCTGTAAAGAAAAAAAGTAAAACTTTTTTGTTTTTTTATAAGTAAGATTTTTATCTTTTTATATTATTTTCAATCACCCAAAACAAATGATAGTTTTTTAACAAAATGTTAAAAAAAAATATCCATCTATTAGTTCCTTTTATAGTTTTTTTCCTTTTATAAAGAAAAAACTTGGAAAATTTTTTTAATAAGAAATCATTATCTAAATCACCAGCTAAGAAAAAAAAAGTTTTTCCTAAAAAAGTTAGCAGATTTTAAAAAAATCTTTAGGCTTCACTATTGCTTTGGGCAATAGACTAAAACTTTGTACAGATAAGTAAAAAAAGTTTACTGAGAGCAAAATATATAAATTTATATTGTATTTTTTTCAGGGATTAATCTTAAATA